TGTGATTTTCGAACGGTTATCTGGTGTTGTTGTTCCATTAGGAGCTCAATTCGCATGCCCCAAATTTGACAACCTGTTATGATTGCCCGCAACAAAGGAAAACACCTACTCAGATAACTGTACCAGATCTCTTGGAGACTCAATAATCGACTTTTTCAAGTTAATACAAAAACAAGACCAGAATTCGTGTTGAGAGCCATAATTGCGTCGGCCGCGTGCGAGTGAGTTGTCAAAAGCACATACTAATTCAAGTCAGGGTTGTCCTTGACCTAATATAAAACGTAATAAAACAGATGTTAGAGAATTAATGTAAATGATGAAAAAAATCGGCAATGAGCAATCTTAGGGCATCGTGAATCCCCAACACCTCGCTTCCTTGAAAAGCGAGTAACGCTTCTTATTTGAGTCGACTTTGATTAGTGGTGGTTTCCGTCGTTTTTGACTACACTCTCTTGGGAATGTAGACGTGCCTGGTGCTAGTTAATTTCTGTTAGTTCTCACTAGCGTTGTTAGCCGTGGCGGAAGCTGGAAAGTGTAGAATAGCACATCCTGCCGGACGCTGGTCTGGCGATTTGGAGTAGCAGAATCTTTCCTCAATCGAAGTTGGTTGCTATGCCTTTACCAAGTGTCGTGAGCCACCGTCACGTCGGACGTGCAATCGTCCCCTCAATCCATGTTTCGTGCCATGGTCTTGGTGGCCTGCTGGAATTGGCGATAACTCTTGACTAGGTCTGCAATTTGCTGATCCATTTTTGGCTGGTGAGCGTAACAGCGGGTGATAGACTTCACGCAACTGATGCCGGGATGGCCAGTTTTAAATTGACGAAGAATCCGCAAGCCTGGTGACTTGGGCACTAAAACGCGTTCTCCGAACATCATGCAGCCGTCTATAACGCAGAGGGAATCGCGTCGCTGGAAAAACTGCTGAAGATCTCCGGTGAATAAACGTTTTGGCCATTTGCCTCGGACGCAACGGATGGAAGACCGGCCTATAGTCCGTAAAAAGACGGAGGGCAGCCTATGTCGCAGAACAATGTCTCAATCCAGTTTGAAAATCCGTGCTGAACTGCCTGATGATGTCCGCGGTATTTTTCAAGGTGTTGTCGACAAGTGTAGTGCAGCGCAGATGGAGCTAATTGGGACATCGGCCAAACCCAATTGTTCAAACCAATCCAGACCATAGGAGTTAGGATTAGCTTCGATGACATAATACTTGCCACTGAAGGTTGTTCCAACTAGGGACACACAGCATTGCATTTGGCCGCAGAAGTGAATTTCACTGCTGCAGGCACTGATTGGCATTTGAGAGGTGGCCTGAGTGGAGGCCAAACGACGGAGCGCCATTGGTTCTCCGAGATGATGGTAACATCCGAGGCTGTCTAGCTGCAGACAAACTGGATGATTGTTGATGAGGACAGTTTTATACATTCTCTGCTGCTGTGAAGTGTCTTCGGAAGTGATGCATAGGCTGGGGGATGCAATGTAGCTACAGGTGGTTTGGCTTTTGGCATTTTCTTTGTGTGGAGGTGGGGGTGCCGTCCACTCCTGCCAGACGGGGACGATTGACAGAATCCATCCTTGTGGCCCGTAGCTTTGCATTACTGGTATCGGTGCTGCTTGATGGAATGCAGGATGACGTGTTCAGTTCTTTAATAAGGTCTGCTATATTAAATACTTTGACAGCCAAAAGTGGAAGTTTGGGAGGACCAAAATGCGAGGTGTTTTCTTTATACGTTTGACCCTATTGACTTCAGAAGCAGTGCGGCCCCCAGCTTGGACCCTTCTGGAGTCATGCAGTGTAGGTACTCATCGCGGATATTGTCCAGCGTCACAGAGTGATTTTGGTCAAGCAACTGAAGCAGCCGCGTTTGCAGATCTGTGTACTTAGGAATTTGAAGGCTGCATATGAGAACGAGAGTTTAGACCTGGTCATTAGTTATTGATTTAAATCGACTTTTCTCGCAATCTCAACTGACCAATGCTAGATGTTCAAGCAAGCTGGTGGTTTGGGCTTAGTTTGAGCATGAATTGCAGGCTTCGTTGTGTTAAGTCAACTTGCGTTGCACGAGGCATCATGGTCTCCCTACAAGGCTCTGTTCGTGGGTCCCACGCGAACCCAAAGCACTTCACCTTATCCCGTGAGACTCCTTCTGTCCACTTACGTACCCGACAAAGTCAGCACATTCTTCATGATGCTGAAATAGCCCGAAGTGTTGTGGTTCACAGCCACATTATGCCTCACCTCACAAAACTTGTCGTGAGAATATTGCAACTCAAGCATTGAGCAAAAGCACCACTTGCCCATGTGCTTGCATTATGTCATTAAATTGGTGAAGCGGCAACCACAGAGTCATTGAAACATCTTAGGCCTTTAAAAATAACCGAATTTGATGAATGTGTCACACCGAGCTTAAATTTGAAAGCGCGGGCGGATGGTCAATTGTTCAATTAGAAATCATGCGATTTGCTACTCCACCCTCACTTTATTTTCTTCTACTCAGCGGGTGCTTTAGACCGACTAGTTCACAATTGATTCATTTGTTAAACAACCAATATGTAATGCCTCTTAATTGAATAGGTGAACTTAATGTCCAATGGCAGTTCTTGGTAGCAAATTGATATCAACAGTGGGTGTGGTTCGTTAGGTTAAACGCACACATTGCCTCAGTTTGAAACAATGTGACCCTCCCTTGCTTCAGTGCTGTTGCATGCTGCGGTTGCAGGAGTACTTAACTCGGCCAGTCGAATTCGCTACTTGGAAATCGAGCTTCTAATGAAACAACAATGACAACAAATGAACCCTGCGATAACTTGGACGTGACTTAGCCTTATTGGTTGCAGCACAATGTCAACAGCTGTGGTGCAGTCGGGTAGTACCAATCCTCATTTCAGTCTGGTTTCCACCCTTGGCCCTATTCTGTGTGTTGCAATTTCCGAAGAAATTAGGCTCCGCAGTACAAGAGTCGATAACAAGAATGTCCTCACTCACTACTGGAATAACATGGCTGATATTCTATCAACCTGCTTCACTGTGTGGGTTTCAAAACCAGTCATATGACTCATCTACAATGATGGAGGCCAGCAAAAATCTTCGACACCAAGAAATAGACTTGACTACGGTGTGGGAGAAATGAGTGACTGCAAATTTTGCCCCATGTGGGTGACGACGTATTAATGAGAGTAGAGATTGGTATCCGTGGAGTTGCTGCTGTTGCCGTGTTCGCGACTGTCTATTGGCTTTGATCAGGGTTGCTTTTTTAGAGATTGTTTTGGATGTGCTTGTGTGTGCGTGTGTTTAAGCTGGTAATGCACAATGAATCACACTGGAATGAAATGACTTGTTAATTACGGGTGATTGCAGATCTGAAGTCAGATCCGGGAGTGTCGACTACTGATTTAGATCTACTAGCAAAAATCCACTCAGTTATACCCTTGACTATCGTAATGCACCAAGTCACTTCCATGCTCTGTTTCAAAAAGGCGTGTTCATGCTGCTCTATAAATACCAAAGTCAGTAGGCAGATATACAGTCTGCAACTGCATTTGTGCTCGTAATAATTTGGAGATGCCTGAATGTGGCTTTGAACCACACCGAACCCGCTTCTGCGTTGCATTGGCTCGATTTAGCCCCCCCTGATACCGGCGACAATCATGAAGACCAGTGATGGTAGAGACCATCGTTTACTACCACCCCATGCTAATTGTGATTGTCACGCCACTATCCATAAAATGTTGCATCTGAATAATGAGAGTTGTTGACTACTGCTGTCTGATGAAACTGTTAATAGCCGAATAGCCGGATAAATGGAATGAATGAATGAGATACTTGTTAGGCTAACTCACACACACACACATCACACACAGGAGTGCCTGAGCAGTCGGCTTCGCATGATCGATCGAAAGGCCTCAGTAAAACGAAGGTCATTGTGACGGAGAATGCGACGAGCGGGTGAGTAGATTTAAATAATCATGCTTTCCTACAGCACGATCCAATTGGGGCGACCCATCTAAAGGCGATTTTTAGTCATAATGTTGGCGGACTGCATAAATGTTCCTCATAAATGTCTATCGCGTTGGTATTATGGTCTGAGCCTGTGATTGTGTTCATGCAGAGGAGGTTGCAAACATCAAAGGTGATGTTGACGATCGATTAGTTGATTGCACAAATCAGGAACCGTTGTTACTGCGTCTCTTTGTCGACCCTGTCGTGTGAGAAATATGCGCAGGCGAGTATGTCAGGAGAATGGCGAATTCAGTTCCAATGCTCAATTGCGATTCCACCACACACACACAGCTTGTGTCCACTCAATATTCTTCAAGTATTTCTTCTTGAGAGTGTGATGAGTTGCAGTCTGCTAGAGCAGGCCCATGCAAACACATCCAGCAGAACAAGTTACCTGAAGGTATGATTGTCTGAAGTGAAAGTGACGAGAATGATTCGATCAAATCAACACACCAATTAATCGACGATGAGAGCGC